ACTCACAGTACTCGAGAGTTTCCTGTACTCGCAAGACGGCCGTTTTTTTCTGCCGTGGATGTGCGGCCCAGACGGTGAGCTCGCGAGTGTTGGTCGGCGGCCAGCAAGGTGTGTGTGTGTGTGTGACAGCGCCGGTGGTCCTGGTTGTGGCGGAGGGGGGCTCGCGCGGTTGTAATGTCATTGTTGTTGGTCGGGGTCGAGCAGGCGGTTGTAGCGGGATGGCTGGCTCTGGTAGACCTTGTTCTGGTTGTTGACGGTGCTGCTCTATGGTGATCGTGCGGCTGGTACTGTGGCTCGTGTGGGTCTATAAGGCGGCCGAGATCCTGCGCCCGAGACTCACCAAAGGGGGCGATGATAAAGTAGTAATCGCCGTGGGCGTTGAGGCTAAATGCTAATTGCTCAAATCATCCGACTGACACAGAGCACGTGCTCACGGATCCGGTTTCGTTGTTTTTGTTGTTCTGGCGTCGCTCCTCCTCCTGACAGACAAGATGCTGCCGCGGAACTTCACCTTTTTCCTCTCGCCTTTCTAGAAAATTTGAAATCACACAAACGGAACAAGGCAGTGACAGTAAAGATGTAAACATGTGTTCCCTGTAAAAAGACTGGGATTATTTGCAATACACGTTTTATCCATCTTGACTAAATTTTTGTTGCCCTTGCGTTTTGCAGGGGCTGCCGTAAGGACATTTCGCTGTTAATTTCGATGTGTGTCAATAAACTATCTTCCACCGATACTACTTCAGAGTTAAAGATCCTGTATTTCATTTTTTTCGGCGTCTTCTCTTCGATCTCTTCATAGAACTGTATTTCAAACACAGGTGGTAGTTGCATTTCACTTTATCAAACTGCTAAGGCTTTAACTAACGGCAAATATATTTCATTGTTTGACGGAGAATCTACGATCAGTATGAACCTTGACACCCTACTGCAATTTTCAGATACATTTCTATCCAAATTATCATCATTATCATAATAATAATTATCAATAAATGCGTATATCATTGACATTATCATTATTATAACTTTCACTCATTACCACTTGTCGTCATCAACCTTAGTACTGTCGTTTTATCATAAAAATCTTACATTTATTCATATCATTATCAATCTAATGCTTGTACTAACACATCAATAATTATTACTATAAATTGTATCGTCAATATTGCCAATGACCATCATTTCCGCTTCACATTAAGACTTACTGTGGTGACACTAATTGTTATTTCCCTAATCATTGTCGGCAATATCATTATCTTTATCAACCATAGCAGTCATTTCTTCACCACTTTTATCTTATATATTATATATCGTAAGAATAAATAATGACAATAATAATCATAATAAAAAAATAATCATCATTATTTTCATTGTTATCATAATCCCTATTACTTTAGTTTTGTTACTGTATTTATATCATTAATACTATAACTCAGATGAATTGCAAAGGATGGCAATATTTACATAAAAAGACCAGTGATAATTTTGAAAGCTACTATCACTGCTTAAGATATTCCATAAACTCTTTTCAAGGCATATGTTTTATGATATTTAAGGAAAGCCTGTATATCTTTTTGATAATGGAAATATGATCAAAGGCGTCCATTGAAACTCACCTACACACACACGTGCGCACATAAATACACACGCACCCATACGCACGCACACACATATAGTCAAACAAACACACACACACACACATACTCAAACAAACACACTCACACACATACTTAAACAAGCACACTCAGTCACACGCACTCACACACATACTCAAAGAAACAAACACACACACACACACTCAAAGAAACAAACACACACACACACACTCACACACATACTCAAACAAACAAACAAACGCACGCATACTCAAACACACACACACACACACACCATACCTTATGCTGAGCCACCCAACATTGGTCAAGACATATGGGCGTTCGCGACTGGCACCAATGACAATAAGTTATGTGGCCTTAGGCTGGTCCAAGTTTCGGGGGGGGTTAGTTATAGGGATGGAGGAGCTTACTAGGTCTATATACTTCTCTAGCATATCACTCTTTTTTTTCTCTCTATCTCTTTCTTAGTCTATCTCTTTCTCTCTTTATGTCCACTTTTCAGTTCCTTTCAGCGGGAACTCCTCCTTCCATCACGCGCATCGGGACCCCCTCGAGCGCGAGGACTCCCAGCGGTGCCCACGTCCCGCCGCGAAGGCCAGGGTTCGGCGCCGCCCCCGCGCCCCTTCGAACGCAGGGCAGCCGCACGTGCGCTCGATCTCCTCGGGCTCTCGGCTTAATCCCAAGTTCCGAGACGCGAAACCCAAGGCTCCGCAAGTCCTGGTTCTCGAGCTGGCATATTTCCGACAAAGCAGAGGCAGCCGGCCATGAACTAACCAACGTCTTCTGAATACTTTCTTGTCTGAACGCCCTGAATGGCAGATCCTTGTCTTCAAAGGCATTTCAAATCAATTTACATTTCACATTATCATACGGCATAAAAAAGA